TCACATGTCATACCTGAATTAGTAGAACATTCAATCATGCAAATTTCAATTTTCAACAATTTCCAAGTGTTAAGCGTCTCATTCTTAACATAATCATTCACCCGAAATTGATACAAAAAGTTACCATAATCCATTTGTGGAGTCGAACGAGTTGCACCTTCAAACTCTCGTAATCAACTAATGGGTCTCAATTAATTAATTGGTTAAATAGAACATTTTGAACCAATTTCCAACATTGTCATTGGATATGGGTATGGGGTGCACTACAGTGCCGACGCTGCCACCACCACCCCTCGCTCCTTCCTTTACCTCCACCAGCGCCCCGCCTTGTTCTTCCACTGCTGCCCTTGCTCCACCCTCCCTTCACCCCCACTCCACCCCACGAGCAACTATAGAGGTGAGTAGGAGACACGTAGTATGAAATACTTATCATTATTTTTGTCATGTCCATAATATTAAATAATGATCCTTATCATATAAATAACTTATTTACCAATTGGGTAACGTACTGTCTCATTTTCACTTCATATACAAAAATATAGGGAATGAAACCTTTTGGAAATGTAATACAATAGTTGATGTTGGGATGTCGAAAATAATTGGCCACTTCATCTTTTGATCACAAAAATATTTTATAGCGTAGCAGCTGATAAAAACTTAGGAATGTCAGACACCGTGCTCGAATAATACTCTGGTTGAATATGGTTTGATATGTCTTCAAGAGTTGATATACTAGTCACACCTGCAAACACCGCAACAATATCAGTGTCTCGTATGCTCGTGAATCTTGATACCCTCGGTTTCGAGCAATGGGTCTTAACAAATTATGCTCAAGAGAAGTTTACAAGTAACGAGAGATGACCTGAAAGAACGAGAAGACTTCTGCATCCAGCATTCAGTCCAAATAAAATATCCGTGTCCAGTCTATCCCCTACCATACACATTCTGGAAGTAGGGATATTGAATCTGTGGAAAAAAAGAAGAGAAAAAAAGAAGCTCAAGGCAGTTCGTCCATAAACAGATTTACCCGGGACTAACTAGTTTTCAACATTATCACATATGAGTGTTCAAAAAAACAATAAGCTAGAGATAAAGTAGCTTTACTGAGTGAGTTTCACCTACTTTTTTAGTAAAAAGTCCATCATAAAGGTTGATGGTTTTCCAACTACAATTGGCTCTTTCTGAGTCGAGCCACACATGGCAGCAACCATACATCCAGCACCTGTAACCAATAGAAAACTTAATTCCGAAATTTTCATGCCAGTCAAAGAAGCAAAGGTGTAAGCTTACCAGGCCATTCTTGCAGATTAGTTAGATGTCCAACTGCATCACGGTTAGTGGCAATAAAGAGACATCCTGGATTCTCGCGTATGCAAAGAGTTCCATACCTTCAGAATTCAGATGATTTGAATTACGGATTTAGTTATAACTTTTAATCTATATGCTAGACAGAGATTGCAAAAAATATTCAGATGAAATATTTACTCAAGCATATAGTCCAATAATGTAAGTCATAAAGGTTTTAAAAGCTGTCATTTTTTTCCCCAGCTAAAGTTGCGCAGCTGAATCAGAATGATAGCATGAGAAACTCCATGAGGGCCCTTGGGCAAGCTGTAAGTTATGATATGCATGCAATTCATGCAGCAGTGCAAATCTATGCAAAAGAAGGCCCTAAATCTATTCTAAGTTCTAACTACAATTGGTGCACTAGATTTTACTCACTTAAGTTGACCATAGATACCAAGAAACAATAAGCAGGTTAAAACAGGGAACAAGGAATTTACTGGAGCTTGTAAAAGTTTATATACTGGTCTAGTCCAACCACAACAGCTCCAACCTGGGATATGTAATCAGATCTACAGTCAATAAACAGCAGAGAAAGGTAGAATGCATCCATAAATTGAGGGAAAGATGTCACATTACACTCTTATCATGTTCAAAAAGAGAGTTTGATCTCAGGAGAACAGTCTTCTTCCCGTCTTCCTGCAGAGAACATCATGGTTATTCAAAATCCTAATAAGACGATTGTAACAAATACCATGCCTAGTTATCCAAAGAACTTAACAGAGCTGGTTTCAATATAAATAACAAGCATGAACAGATAAATTAAAATATATATGGAAAATAGTTGAGTAAGTAATAAAAAGGGGAAAAATCAGGGAGATGAAATAGAAGGGCAAGCCCAAGGGGTTGAGAGTATGGAAAATGAGAACGAAAACTTTCATCGTTTCAAGACCATACAACTAAAGACAACAGGTAAATTGTCAGCTAGTTGGACCAATGGTTCAATATAATATATTCAGAGATGAAACCAAGCGAAGCTTACAGGGCCACCGAGGCCAGTAAATCCAGCAAGCGCCAGTTCTTCCAATATACCTTCTTCGCCAATTACATAAACCTGCAAAATATAAGGGAGAGCTTGATATTATCATCATGACATCACTTCACCGATATCATTCAAGTATAGTTAGGAAACTAGAAACTCAGATAAGACTTCGGATTATGAGAGTTTGGTGCAATGTCCATCCCATATTTCTTCATACACTACCCAATTTAGGATTCTCAGCTTTGGGCAGATGATTTCTACTGTTCCAATTTCAATTTTTCCATTATTAATCTGTTAAGATTGTTGCCACAGGCTAATCTTAACATCAATAAAATTAAATTAAAAAAATACTCAATCTTGATTAGATATCAGTAAAAAAAAACTGCAAACAGCAGATGATTGATTTGTATGTATCTCTCCTAGATTGTTTTATTAACTGGTCGAAGTTGAGTGTATTTTTGGTGTCATTTAATCAAACTTAATTCATTGATAGTTGCAATTATCTTCCTTAGACAATAAGATAATACAGGAGATCCTAAACTGGAATAGATCTAACCAACCAAGAGCGCAAGATAGGTTAAAATGATAAAGAGTAGCCTTGGTAATCAGAGGCAGATGACTTTTGTACAGCTGTTTGACAGATATAGAATGATGGCTGGCATTTCAGAAGACATGAGGTTCAAATCTATTTAATTTATTAACAATGATATATTGATTGGAACAAATTGCCATAACAATCAGTCTTTGAGATAGTGTCATCCACCCAAATATCATTCTTACGATTCAAATTTTAAGCATTATGAGACCTTGTAATACTGAAACAACCTTTTTATCTTTAGGAAAGTCATTCACTTTCAAGTACATGGCGGCAGCAAATGAGGAGGTGAATATCTCATCCTGCAATCAGTAGGATAAAGTATTTAAGCAAAATTCTAAATTTAAATTGTATATTGCATACTGAGTTCAACTAAAGATATTGATGAACAGAACAAACCTTAGTTACAGAAATTCCAAGGGAATTGAACTTCTTTGCATACTGACTTCTTGATTTCCTCGAATTATTTGTCACAAACACCAGCTTCTTCCCCTGCAACCACATATGTTAGAGAAAACGTACGTTCAAAAAATGAGCATAAATTTCTTATAGACTAAGACATATTGAACATATCCAAATGAATTATGAATCAGAGTTTGATGTTTCAAGCACAATGCACAACAGGTAATTGCAACGCAATAAATTAATCAAAAAGAATAAAATGTTGTTTAAGAAATGACGTCAACTACAGTAACACGCGCACTCACATCAGCTTATGACTAATAATAGATGACTTTCATATAAAACTAATCAAAGCCCTGTATAAATTGGTAAAGTATAAAGACCAAGGAGGTAAAAGAAATACCATGGATCGAAGTGTTTCCAGAGTCTCAGGAACACCATCAATCAGTGAATCCCCCTTCCAAATCACACCTGAATAAATATAAAAAAAAAAAAATGAATAAACAAAGGCACTGAAACACATGTTAATGCAATAACATTGAAAAAAGAATCCTATAGTGCGCACCATCACAGTCGAAGAGAAAAGCATCGACGGAATCAACGAGGTCCCTGACGTTGTAAGGAGATAGAGACTGGCATTTTGTTTTCTCTTCCATCGTTGATTCCGAGATTTGTCCGTCCATGGCCGCGGCGAAGAAAGTCTGTGAGAAGCAGAGGATACTCGAGTCTCTGTGATTTACAGCTTGAGAGATTCGAATATTTTGAGAATTCCAATTGGCCGTTCTATTTTAATGAAAAGCATAAGATTCCCTTCCCCATTTTGAAGCACATGTTCCAATTTAGCTTCGTATTTCTTTGCACCATGTTTGGCTAAGCTGAGAAGTAAAAATAATATATTTTGTCTTCTGAAATGTAAAATTTTGAATCAAGAACTTCAAAATAAGTTACTAAAATTGAATTCTTCTTGCATAGATATATTTAACAGATTGATTTACAGGTGCTGAGTTAGCAACATTTCACAGGGGTTGCTTGAACAAAAAAAAATTAAATCATTATGTGAAATATTGTCAACTTTGCCCTTGTAAACCAATATGTTCATATAGTATTCTTTGCTAGAAGTTTTTTCATATGATCGACAATTATTATCCACAATTCAGAACTCTTTTGTGGAACTCTTCAAAATTAGCTTTTAAGATCTCCCAAACAAGCCTAAACAATAAGTAACTATTT